ATGAGTTTGTGCATCATATTACGTATACTAGAGGACAATACTCTCCTCTTTACCTGTCCCATTACATTTCAACTCAGGTAGATGAACCACCCCCACCTATTGACATTGATGTGGAAGATGTAGAAGGTGGTGATATTAATCCGGATGATTATCCAGACGATGATTATCCGGATAGTTATATAGATGAGGAAGATGAAGATGAGGATGACTATTCCCCTCCGCGTAGAGTACATAGACATAAAAAAGATGATGATGATGAAATGCCAGAATATGATGAAGAAACCAAAGTGCTTATTGAGAGTAAGTTTTACATGTGAACAATTTAAATCTGATTTAGTGGGGTGGTTACTACCGTGAAATCTGTATTAGAAACCGCTGCTTCTATTAAAATGGTGCAATGCAACAGAGGGGATGTGGTTTCTATTAGAGCATCTACACATGAGAAATGATGAATTTTTGGTTCTGAATTATTCAAAAAAAATGGTTGCAACTTCTATTAAGGATGCGGCTTCTAGTACAGATTTTATAGTAGTATACATAGCGTTTTCTCTAACGAAATGTCTAACATGGTTCATACAGTCCTGGAATGTATTGCAAAGTCTCTGACTGTCCTGGAAATGAACAATTAGCATAAAAAGCCAGTAATAAGTGGTTTATTGAGATCACCATAAAAATGTTGACAGTCAAGAGTAAAAAGCCAGTAATAAGTGGTTTATTGAGATCACCATTAAAATGTTGACAGTCAAGAGTAAAAAGCCAGTAATAAGTGGTTTATTGAGATCACCATAAAAATGTTGACAGTCAAGAGTAAAAAGCCAGTAATAAGTGGTTTATTGAGATCACCATTAAAATGTTGACAGTCAAGAGTAAAAAGCCAGTTATCTCATTATGGGCCACCATAATGCTTACTAGTTGTTAGGAAATAGGTAGTCCTGAAAAAACTGATCAGACAATTCTGGAATTTTATTTTGTTTCACATGTATGAACCCTGGTCTAAGCATGTTTTTTGACTCCCATGTGCGAAGCACAAAATGGGAGTCTTTGCAGTTAGTGTGTCTGTATGTGTGTATGTGTGTATGTGTGTAATGTGTGGTATGTGTGTATGTGTGTATGTGTGTGTGTATGTGTGTATGTGTGTCCGACTGTTCCACTGCTATCTCAAGAACCATACA